TATATTAGACTAAATTTATTAAATTAATTATAATATTGTTCTAGTTAATTATATATATATATATATATATATATATATATTTCTCTGTGGGAATTTCAGATATCAACATCTTTTTTAGAAGGATGTATGATTATTATGTATGGATCTGGATCAATAAAGCAATTTTACATATTATGTTCATGTGTTCAGCAATTATCAGAAGCGGTAAGATTTATCATGCAATCATTCTTTAGGTATGTTAGATATAAAAATTGATTTAAAAATTATGAAAAAAATGTTTTTTATTAAATAATTTATTTTTGACAAGAAACAACTGTTAATCTTTACAATCAAGTTTAATTACTAAAGTTAAAAAAATCTTTTTCTTTTAATAAAAAGCGTATATAATTATTTAGTATAAAAAATTTAATTGATTGATATATTATAAAGAAAAATTATGTATACAAATATGTAAATCTGTAAAAAATTGTATGTAAATCTTGTATTATTTTATTTGTGTCAAATTTAGAGCACGGAATTAACGGATAAAGCCTTTCACGAAGACTGGTATCGATTCGATTTGTCTGTAAAACATATATTCTTATTGGTGATAATAGCTAGTAGTACTTAAACTTAGAACTTAAACTTTCAACGTTCGACAAATTCAACTTATCTCTATCCGCATTTATGTCGGTAATATACATAATTTCTTTTGTAATTAATAATTTATTATCAATATTTTAAGAAAAAAATAGTTCTAAATATAATTTTAAAAATAATTTTAAAATAATTTTAAAAAATTCCATTTAAAATATTATTTATGATAATATACATAATTTTTTGTGATTAATAATGTAATTAATAATTTATTATTAATATTTTAAGAAAAAAGTAGCTTTAAATAATTTTAAAATATTCCATTTGAAATATTATTTTTCTAGGTTTTAAATCAATCATATTCAATTGCCCTTTTGATATTAAGAATGAAATAAAAAATGAATATAATGATGCATTTGTAAAATCTGGGAATTTATAATTTACATTAAATATGAAAAGCACTTTTATTTTTCATTGTAATTTGTAATCCTTATTTTAGCATAAAATATATTTTATATATTAACAAGTTGCAATTAATATATTATTTAGCACTTATAAATTAAATTAGTATTTTAATCATAATATAATTATTATTAATTGTAAACAATCTTATTATTATAAAATTTAGAAGAAGTAAAATTCTATTTATTAACAAAGCATAAAATATGCCTACAATTTATTATAATAAGTATTTGATGACACATTTTTAAATAATAAAGTTATAAACTTTATGAAAGTAATTTGTTTTCTTTTATAAATACAGAATAAAATTGCATTTAAAGGAATATTGTTTATTTAATATTGACTTGATATTGGATTTGTAAATATATATTTTTAATTTCATAAAAATATAGCTATTTAATTGT